CAGGATGCATGATGGGAAATCCACAAAGGATCAATAACAAGTTTAAAAAGAAGACTTGTTAGATCTTAATCTCTGGAAATACTGACACAAGGGTGGTACAAACTGGACCAGAATTTGGTACTTACTGTACCTCTACTGTACCCCCGGGGGGCTGCCAACATCAGGAGCACAGTGCTGTAAAGTGATCCTCTCTTCCAAAGATCTGCAAACTGGGAGCACCAGGGTTCTGAACTGAGTAAGCAAAAATGGGTTTTTAGAAAAGGATCTGTTATTGGGATCTGAGGACAAATGGCTGCTTTGTATGCCAGGACAGGTTGAAGCATGGATTGGCTTAAATTCAGAGGCTGATGCTGGTGAATCCAATAGAGGGCTGTCATTGTTCAGAGTTGGGTGTCACGATGTAGCTTTTGAGATGGAGCAAGGGAAATGGAGAAGGTCAGGCTAGAAAGGGACCGGACTCAACAGAGGATACACATTGGAGCCGCCTGTATTTAGTGGGTGTCCAGAGGCCTGTGTTAGAGTTCTCTAGAGGAATAGAACCTATAAAATGAATCTATACAAAGAGCAATTGATATGTATAGAAGGGGATTTATTTGAGTGGCTACAGGCTAATCCAACAATGGCCATCTCCCAACGGAAAGTCTGAGAGCCCAGCAGTTGTTCAGTCAATGAGGAAGGATGTCACAACTGGTCTTCAGTGTACTCTCAGACCCTGAAGAGGTAGGCTCTAACACCAGAGAGCAAAAGCTTCTTCCATCCTTGTTCTTGCTGTGAGGTGTAGGTGCTGTGAGGTAGAGCCCAGACTTAAGGCTCTTCTACCTCAAATGATCCAGTCAACTGAAAATCCCCCACAAGTGTGCCTAGTGAATTGAGTTTTCAGTTAATTCCAGATGTAGTTGACAACCAAGAGCAGCTTTTATAGGGCCACACCTCAAATACCTGTGTCCATGTAAACAAGTTGTTTTCTGCCAAAGGAGTCTTTCAGTTCCATTGGTCACAGCAACTTCTCAGCCAGTCTTTGCCTCTCCTCCATCGTACTCAATCGTACTCAACTAGTCTTTGGGATATATATATATATATTACTAAGACTAGTTGGGCACCATGATATATGCATCCATACATACAACCATACATACAAGTTTTCCTCTTAATACTTCTTTTGTTTATACTGTAAGTTTAGGATTGTTATGTACCCATTCCTATTTGGTTTAATAATTTTTTAAAAATCCTATTTCTCATTCAAGAATGTTGTGAGGTCTCCATGTATTTGCACTTCCTAGGTTTCCTTTATTGACTTCCAGTTGTATTTCATTGTGGTCAGAAAAGATAACTGTAGTGGATACTTGTTCTAACTACCTATGACCTTGAAGTACCAGCCCTGGGGCATGGCCTCGGGGCTACTCTTAAGACCCGAGACACACATAGGCCACTCTCTTCTCTCCCTCATGGCTTGGATGGGGGGACTGACTCAGGGAGAGGTGGGAACAGCTGAGAGGCACGGGACCTCAGCCTTCCAGAACCCTACAATTATTCACCTATTCTGTTCAGTGAGTTGTATTTTCCAATTTATCTCCTAATAAATTCCTTATAACTAGTAAGTAGACTCCCTTGGATTTCTCGTTATAGATGACTATTGTTTTGTTAAAGTTGATTGACATTCATTTTACCACATAATAAATAAATACTCAGGAAAATGTTCCATGTGCTGATGAGAAGTTTATTCTGCAGCTGTGTGAGGAACAGCTCTGTAGAACTCTTCAGTTTCTTCTGGTCTGTGGTGTAGCTAACACCAAGGTTTCTTTGCCATTTTTCTTTTTGGTTTGGTATGATGGCCACTAAAATAGGGTGTTGAAGTCTCTAATTATTATTTATTAGAGCTCCTCTCTCTTGATATACTTAATACTCTTTGCTCTATATGCTGCATTAGGGGAAGATAATTTGAAGTTGTCATATCTCATTGCTGAAGCCCTGGAGTGTTACACAGTGATCCTCCTTGTCTCCTGCAGTTCTGTCTTTAAGTCTCTTTTGTGTTAATGTAACCAGCCCTGATTGCTTTTGGAGCTTTTTGTGTAGACTCTTTTTGCCCACCCGTTCACCTTCAGTCTCTGTTTCCTTACACATGAAGCGAGTTTCTTACAGGGAACAATTTCCCTCCGGTGAACTGGTTTGTATCTTTTACTTGTGGTAATTTAGTCCATTTACATTCAGGTTAGTAATGACATAAAAAATTACTCCTGTCATTTTGTTGGTTTCAAATGTTTAAATTTTTGCTCTTTCCCTCTTCCTGCTCTCCCTCTCTCATTGAGACAGAATGTCATTATGCAGCCCGGGGTGTCAGGAGTTCATGATCCTCCTGCCTCAACCTCAGGAGTGCTGGAGTTTCAGACTTGTGCCGCCTTACCTGGTTTGAGTAGTTTCCAGGCATATTGTCTCAGGTGTATTTTTGTAAGGCCTATCTGGAGGTGATAGATTCTGTCTTGGCTTATGTCGTTATTTTTATCCCATATCCTCTTGGCCTGCAAAAATTGGGCTAAGAAATCTTATGCTAATCTAATACCTGCGTGAGGGGGCGGGGCTTGGCCCTTGGGTGGGGCTTCAGAGTCTTGCTTGCACCTCCTTCTGTATCCATCTGACACTTCTGACAGCTGGACCAATGAACTGTGGGCTGGATCTCTCCTTGCCAGGTCTACTTGGGGACCCATTGTGCTCCGGGGTGTGTATCCAAGAGAAGTTTCAGCCATGGTTTTACTGGGCAGGGTTTTCTATGTCCGCCCCCTTTGCTTTTCTTCATCTTTAGGTACCGTGAAATGCAAACATGCACTCCTTAGAAGGAGTGGGCTGAGCAGAACAACCATGGCCTTGATCCTATCGGCTCACATTTCTCCTCTTCTCCCTGTCCCTCCCTTCATCTCCCTCAGGGTGGACACTTCCAGGAGATGGATGTGCTTTTCTTAGAAGCCCACTCTACTCAGAATTCAGTAGGTTATACTTTGATATATAAGACTGTATGGATTTCGGCATTCCCTAAAGTTAAAGAAAATTCATTAGGGTAAAGGGCACTCTACTCATGCTCCTCTAAAGAGGAAGTTCCTGAAGCTGGAAGTTCCACCACTTATTGCTCTTTGTCTTGTTTTGTCAACCTTCACCAAGTATCAGTTTATCTCAGCCTAGGAGTCCCGAGCTGCTGGTGACTACCACTACTTATTATTCTTCATGGCCTATTTGGAAAACTCTTTGGTTGGTCCTTCCTGAGCTAACCTGCCTAACCAAACAATGCAAGCTCCCATTCTGGAGTCACCACAGCACAGACTCAGGAAGGTTTCTGAACTGGGCTGCAAACCTGTCCCTCCTGACCTTGGGGAAGTTGCTGGTGTCCCCAGCTTTGGGGTCTAGGGGACTCTCCTCCTCACCCTCTTCCCTGATGTGGAGCTTCAGCTAGAGAACAAAGAACACGTGTGTTGGCATGCTTCTCCTGCTCTTCAGGCTGCTATCCTAGGTCTCTGTGCCATTCGGGTTCCTGGTTCTCCCTACTGTCTCCCTCATTGACTAACACCACTCACCTCAGGGTGTAGCTATCTATTTGCTACTCTGCTTCTCTGGGGAAGTGAGGCAAGTTCTAGGTACCACTCAGCTATCTGGCCTGCTCCCCATTTAGTTTTGTAAAAAATTACATACATTCCAATTTGTGACTGCAATGAAAACTTAAAATTTTTGTTTCCTTTTAAAGGAGTCTGTTATGTCAAGGTGAACAGATTTACTTCCTCAGTTTGAGTCAGGGTCTTACTATATCCCAGACTTGAAACTTACTCTGCAGCCTGGGTAGCCTCAAACTCATGATCCTCATGCCTCAGCCTCTGGAGTGCTCAACTACTGTTAGCATTAAAGCTCTACAATTCTTTTTTTTTTTTTCTTTTTTCTTTTGGATTTTCGAGACAGGGTTTCTCTGTGTAGCTTTGCATCTTTCCTGGAACTCACTTGATAGCCCAGGCTGGCCTCAAACTCATAGAGATCCGCGTGGCTCTGCCTCCTGAGTGCTGGGATTAAAGGCGTGTGCCACCACAACCCGGCATAAGCTCTACAATTCTTAATATTAAAGGTTAGGGTTCAACAGCATCATTTTATGTATCTCTTAACTAAATTTCAAGAACTGACATCGATATATTGAAGCATTATTAAAAAAAAACACTTGTTCTGTTGTTAATATTTAAGTTTTGATCAGTGACCCAGAGAATCACAAGTGTCATAGAAAAGATGCTTTCTATTTAACAGGAGTTACTAAGCAAGTCAGCTATTTTAACTTGCACTTTTTTATTATTGAAATTGTAAGGGTTTTTTTTTTGTCATGCATTTCTCAGTGGGAATGAGCTGATCATATCGTTTACTCATAGTTTTTTTTCTTTTTATGAGCACTTTATATAATAAAGGTACCAATCACTTATAATAAATATGGCCCTGGAGCTTGTGATTCGCACTCATGTTTACCCTGTGTTAGGGTTAAGATTTTTTTTTGCTTTCCTGTTCATGTCATGATGGATTGAAAATCATGGCACATTTGAAACATCTTCGGTCAGAAGGATCAGCTTTGGAAGAGCCCAAACAGTGTTATCAAAGAGGAATTTGAGTTACAAAATTGTAAGAATCATTGGAGAGCTCTTTCTTAGAGCAATGAAAGAAAGTTAAGTCACTCGTGAACAATCCCTACTTCACAACTGTACCTCCCTCCACTCCCCACAGTTGCCCGCTGCTCTGTGGGCTGGGTTTGAGATCCACCAGTAATGGCAATATGAACACCAGCAGATCAAGTCCAGGAAACAGCTAACAGGTGCTTTTGTGAAGCTCCATGTGAAAAGACATCCTGAACGGAAATTACTTAAATTACTTAACCATCTCACAAAAGTAGAGAGGTTCTTAAAATCCACTTTTTTGAAAGCTGAAATATTTACAGCCTTCTATTTGGAAGAATATATAAATTCATAACATGACAGACAAGATGACTCCAATGATATGAAAATTTAGTTTTTATAGGCACTTTGTGGCATATTTCAGAACTTTTTACAACCTTTATAATCTTTATAGTAATACAACAAAGTAGGGTTGACATTAAAAATTGAAACAAAATTACATATTTTATTTAAAACATCTTTAAGTTCTCTTACGAATCACATAGTGCAATCAAAAACACTGCCCCCACTCAATGACATTTTTTTTTTTCAATTTCAGTTCATTTAAATACAAAGTTTCTGGAGACTGTCATCTTGATGAAGTTACCTTTAACAGTATTCACCTTTTTAACTTTGGTTAAATGCCATATTTAAACACCAATATTAAAACAGTCACAGTTCACGAGCGCTTTGCTCCAACCTGGACCATTGAGAAATAGATGCCCTTCTGTGCCAGCAGCTGCTGGTGGGTGCCATGCTCCTTGACCTTGCCGTTCTGAATCACCACGATCAAGTCTGCGTTCTGGATGGTGGACAGGCGATGAGCGATCACAATGCAGGTGCGGCCCTCCCTGGCTTTGTCCAGGGCTTCCTGGACAACCTGTTTCACAATCACATGGGAGATTATGATGAAAACAGTCCTCTTCCTACAGTCCCCTCCCTGACAAGCCCCAGGATTTGTACACTCTGTCCTTCAACAGTGGCCTTGGTGGTGAAATGAAGCAGAGATTAGAAACCAAGGTATCAGTCACACCAGAAGAGAAGTGAACACCAGTTTGGATGAGTTCTGAGACAGGCGATGTCTAATGGAGACAGGAGATGTCTAATGCAAGGTAAGGGCAGTCTATGGAGTCCACCCTTTAAAAACACTCTCGGGCCTTGCCAAACAACATCCCTAAAGCGTCCTCTAGCCAGCTCCAGAGCATCAGGAAGCTGGAGCACACGCCAAAGCCATCAGAGCAGTACAACAACCCCTGACCATCGGCTGTCACACAGCCCAACTCTTAACCTTTCTCAGGCTGGAAGGCACCAGCAGCATGTGTCTTAGGGCACGGCCGGACTTCAGCCCAGTCTCCCTTCAGCTCTTCACGGGCTGCTGCAGAGACGCTGCCTGCAGGAGCAGACTGCTGCAGCATGCAGCTTGTAGGCAGACATCACGGAACACAGAGGGCCCGAGATTAATTTGCCCCTCATCACTTCAGGTCTCCGAAGGCCCATGTAGGCATTTCAGCTGCGCTGGGAGCCGACACCAGCAGCAGTCAGCTGTCTGGTTCAGCGTTCTCCACCGCGGCAGAGAACGAAGTCAACTTAAACCCTTACCTTTTCGCTCTCGGTATCCAGAGCTGAGGTGGCTTCATCCAGAAGCAAAATGTGAGGCTGTCTGACGAGGGCGCGTGCTATGGCGATGCGCTGCTTCTGCCCACCCGACAGCTGAGTGCCTTTGTCTCCTACTCTGGTGTTGTATTTCTGGGGACAGAATTTGGTTGTTATGAAAACAGAGCTGATGACAAAGTGCAAAGATAGTGTGACCACAGTAAAAAGAATAATTAGATAAATTTAGTTTCCGAGGCTAAAAATAGGTTCACAGAAAGCTAAACAAACCAGGAAAAAGCTCTGATTGGTAGGCTTTATCTCTCTTTTTGAAAGCAGATACTTGGGCCCCCAAATTATAGCTTTAGTGTAAACAAGCCCAACTCTCTCAGTGCAAGGATATGGCAATCCATTATCTCCCATCTCCTGGTTTCATTGCATTTGTAACAAAGATTGGCAGGAGAAAGGAAATGATTTGAACAGCTGCTCACAATAACAGGAACATCTTGTCACCAGCAGGTGACACTCTCCACATGACTTTAAACTGAGCAAAGAAATCCTTTGACTATTAGCTTTTGGGTGTGTTTCTATTAAATTATCTCCAACGTTTAAGTGATTTTGACTGAAGTGATCTTGATTCCACTAAGCTGAAAACAGCGCCTTCTTTATCCAATTCCATTCCCCTATCAACCTCAACAGCGGCAAACTGTCACAAATTATTATATACGATAACAAAGACATAGGCTAAAAGATTGTGTAATATCAGAAAGCAGGAGAGGATGTGATAGCACATGTGACCAGAAAATAGACAGCCTTATTTATCTGTAGGCCTTTTAGTCGCACACAGCTCTGATTCTCGTGAATTTGACTATAAAATCCATGCTCTACATAAAGGAGGCCACTTGTCTTTATCTTGTTTGGCAACTCCAGTCCTATGGTGGGCAGAACAAGGTCAGCATTTGTAGAGAAGAAGGGCTCTGGTGAAGACAGAAGGGCATTTGGAACAGGCGCCACCCCTGAGCTACGGCTGCCCCAGAGTCCAGGCGCTCTGATGTGTCCTGGCCTGGGTGGGTGCAGGGCTTCCAGACTGCATTGACTCAGCAGATCCTTGGAGAGCAGAGAAGATGGTGCTGTTACCTCTGTAGGAAGCAGGATACACACTGTGGCGGAGTAGCTAAGTCTAAAGCTACCCTCAGAAGGAGATGCTTGGAGAATGGGGCTCAATGATGGAGTGGCAGATGGGGAGTCCAGAAAGGCAGGTCCCTGTGGGAGAGCACTGTCACTGAGACCCTGCTGTGCCCTCTACTCTGAACCCTTATGACCTGGGCTTTAAATAACAAATGCCTGGGTCTGACTGCCAGGTTTTTGTTCTTTTTCCTATTTTTTCCATTCGGAAGAGATAATATATGGACTGAAAAATCTGCATTGTCCAAAAAGCTTGGACAAGCAGTGAATCTTATTAGCAAAGTGGTCTGTAGGCTTGTACTTTGAGTGTTTCAGTCTCAAGAGTCAATCACCCATGGCTGGACCACACTGGGGAGGAGAAGGGGACAGACCTCCTTCCAGGCCATGTGTTCAGCAGGAGCAGTTACCCGTGGAGGAGCCACATGAAAAGATGTAACGTGGGAAGAGTTAGGGTCACTTAATCTTGCCCTCCTTGCCCATGAGGCTTCCACCTTCCTGCCTGGCTTGAGGCTATTAAATCTTATTTTATAGAGGGTATTTCCTATAATAAGTAACTTAATTAATGATAATGGGAGGAGTATATTATTTGGGTAAACCCTGGAGCTGGAGAGATGGCTAGGTAGTTAAAAGTACTGGCTGCAGAACCTGGAAACAACCTAGATACCCCCAACTGAAGAATGGATTAAGAAAATGTGGTACATATACACAATGGAGTACTACTCAGCAGAGGAAAACAATGACATCATGAAATTTGCAGACAATTGGATAGAACAAGAAAATATCATCCTAAGTGAAGTAACCCAGACTCAGAAGGACAAACATGGTATGTACTCACTCATAAGTGGATACTAGATATAAAGCAAAGGATAACCAGACTACAATCCACAGTTCCAGAGAAGCTAGCTAACAAGAAGGACCCTAAGAGGGTTGCATGGACCGCCCTGGGAAGGGGAAATAGATGAGATCTCCATGAGTAAACTGGGGATGAGGGGTGGGCAATGGAGGGTAGGGAATAGGGGATGGGATGACTGAGCTGGAACAGGGAGGGAGGGGGAAAGCAATGAATGAAAGAGGGAGATATCAGGGGGATAGAGAGAAACTGGGTGCTAGGGAAGTTCCCAGGAATCCCCAGGGATGACCCCAACTTGGACTACTAGAAATAGTGGAGAGGGTGCCTGAACTGAACTGGCACCCAGTGATCAGACCAGTGAATACCCTAACTGTCATCACGGAGCTTTTTCTCTAATGACTGATGGAGGCAGATGTAGAGATCCACTGCCAGGCACCAGACAGAGCTCCAGGAGTCCAGTTGGAGAGAAAGAAGAGGGATTCTATGAGCAAGTGCATCAGGATCATAATGGGGAAACCTGCAGAGATGACCAAACCAAACTAGTGGGAACGCATGAAAGTTGATGGCTGTGGAGCCTGCAGGGGACTAGGCTCATCCCTCTGCATGGCAAGACAGTTGTGTAGCTTCATCTGCTTTGGGGGCCCCCTGGCGGAGGGATTAGACTCCATCCCTAGTGCATGAGGGGGCTTTGTGGAGCCCACTGCGTATGATGGGACACCTTGTGCAGCCTTGAGGCAGGGGGAAGAGGTTTGGACTTGCCTCTACTGGATGTGCCTCCCCATGGGAGGTCTTGCCTTCTTGTGGGGGGAAAGGGGGTGGGTTGGGAGAGGGAGGCTGGGGAGCAGGAGGAGGGAAGAGGAGGATCTTTGATTGGTGTGTAAAGTGAATAGAAAAAAAAATAATAAAAAATAAAAGTACTGGCTGCTTTTCCAGAGGACCCAGGTCAATTTCCAGCACATACATGGCAACTCAAAATTGTCTGTAACTCCAGTCCCATGGTATCTGATGTCCTCTTCTGGCCTCTGTGGACACCAGGTCTGAATGTGGTGTACAGGCACACATGCAGGTAAAACACCCATACACATAAAATAAAAACAATAAAAATAAAATAACTAAAAGGATCTAAGATAGAGTCAGTGTTCCAATTTATCTAACTTACTGGAGGAAGTGAGAGGTAGTCCACAGGACATCAGGTAACAACTTAATAATCAACTTCATAAGTATAGCCTGGGGCCCATGAAACTCACAGTGGTCAGAAACTGTACAATACTATGGTCTTCTCCATGACTCAGCCTGAATTAGAGAGCTGTCTTTCTGGCATGGGTCCAGCTGTTGGCCTGGCCCAACTCCAGAATGAGGCTTGAAGCTTACAGAGGAGCTGCAGAGTGATGGACGGGCTAGAAACGGAGAATGGGGAGAGGCAGCGATGAGTGCTTTTTTGGCAGAATCAGAAGACACAGATATGGTTGCCTGGCCCTTCACTCAGACTTGGAGAATGGGGACCATCCCCCCGGAGGAGTGTGCCTCCGGTCTCTAAGCTGTGGTCTGCACCAGGCCTGCTCCTCCTGGACAGCTCCTGAATGGCTGTAACCCTTTGCTCTTTCCTCACAAAGACTCCTGTGATCAGGTAAACTTAACATCTGACAGGCAAGGGAAATTGTGGCCAGATCTCTGTATACATGTGGAGTATGTTTTGACTGCCAAGTTTTCTCTGATAATCTTAGTTTGGAGAGAGACATACATCAGGTAGCGACTCGACGAACTGGTGGATGTTGGCCTCCTTGGCCGCCCTCACGATCTCGTCCTGGGACACGACCCGGCTGTTGTCTCCATAGGCGATGTTCTCTGCGATGCTACAGTCAAACAGGATGGGCTCTTGGGACACAATGCCAAGTTGGGCTCGGAGCCACTGGACATTGAGTTGCTTTACTTCTTTGCCATCTAGAAACTGGGAGCAAGGGTTCACAGGTCAACTTCAGGACCAGCACAATTCAGATTTAGCAAAATCAGCACCATTATTTCAAACTTTAAGACTGTGGGTTGCCATGAGATGAAAAGAGGTTTGCTTGTGTTACTTTGGATTTTTAAGATTTGTTCAGGGGCACCATAAGTGTGCACTTTGGGGAAATACCCCGTTTCTAATGTCTTAACCCTGGTTTTTGACTTACGCAGTAAAAAACAAAAAATAACCCTCCTAAAAATACCCATGTCCCGATCCCTTGAAACTGCGAGTGTATTTTGTCAAAGAGGCGTTAAAGTAGCACATGGAATTAAAGCTATTAATTGGATAACACTCAAATACAACGATTGTCTCGATTATCTTGGTGCAAACAATGTATTCCTGAGATTCTTAACTGTGGAAGAGGAAGACAAGAGCAGGCTACTCTGCTAGTTACTGCTAGCTTTGAAGATGGAGAAAGGGGCCATGACCTAGAAAAAGCAGAGCGGCTTGTCTCTTAGAGTCCCAAGAAGGAATGCTGCACTACCGTTGCTTGGATTGTAGCCCAGTGAGGTCCATTCTAAGGGCTCAAGGACTTCTTACAGCAGTCTCTCTCTCTCTCTCTCTCTCTCTCTCTCTCTCTCTCTCTCTCTCTCTCTCTCTTTCTCTCTCTCTCTCTCTCTTGTGATGTGTGTGTGCGTATGTGTGTGTGTGTGGGGAGGATGGACAAATGGACAAATGTATAGAAGGATTCATGCTATATTTAATACTGAGCCAAGAGTTGGAAGGGAAAGGCCACCTTCTCCCTAGATCAGCAGTCCCATAACTTGTGGGTCACAACGCCGAAGAACGACCCTTTCACAGGGGCCGCCGAAGACCATCAGAAAACAGACACCTACATTATGATTCATAACAGTAGCAAAATTACAGTTATGAAGTAGCAACGAAAATAATGTTGTGGTCGGGGGTCAGCACCACACGAGGAACTGTATTAAAGGGTCTCAGCAGTGGGAAGGTTGAGAAGCACTGCTCTAGATGATTGTGCAAGAGCTGGGGAGGCCCCTGCATAGGTTTGCTGATTAAACCCTTTTCTGATACAGATGTCAACTAAATAGATCTCCTTTGCAAAATAATTTTTGGCATTGAAGTGAGGGAGCTGTTAATGGCTTCTGAGGAAGATCCTAGTACCTTAGTTTTGGGTAGTCAAGCAACAGTGATAAGTGTGTACTGATTCATACAGGTTCTCTGTATACCTTGTGACTGGCTGAGGCCTCGGAGAGCTCTGGCCAGAACTAGGGTAGATCTTTGTCACAGGAATGCATTTCTGCTTGTGAGACTGGCAGTTATATGGAGAGAAGGCATACCATGACCTTGCTGGTACCAAGCCCAGTTGCCATAACTACTCTGCACATCTACTCTCTTGGCTTTCTAAACATCTTAATAAGTCGAAGTGGAAAACAGAGGATGGAGAGAAGCAGTAAAATGTCCATGACTGGCATGCCAGTGCTAGCCTACTTCCCTAACACTGAGGCAGTTGAGGCAGAAGACTGAAGGATCAAACCATCCTCAGCTAACATGGCGAGTTCTAGGTCAGTTTGGAGTATGTAGTAAAACTCTACCTCTAAACAAACACACAGCAAGAAATTCATATAAGAATATAGCTGAACAGGGGGAGGATTGTATTTTGCAAATGGAAAATTGAAGAAATGAGCCTTAAAGAAATCTATTCCATGTCTCTATCCCTGGAAGCAAACACGTATTATCTCACAGAACCACAGGCAAGTCTGGATGATTCCAGTAAGCGTTAAAGAATCTGTATACTTCATCAACTACAATAACACTCTTGGCCCTAATTATAACTGTAAAACACACCAAGTTTGGAATCTATTTAAAATCAATATTAGCCAAAGAACCCTTCCTCTAAGAACATGTTTGGAAGCCCAGAATATAAAACAGACTCGAACACAGTGTCTGTGGTAGAGGCATACCAGTGGTCTGACGGGGGACCTAGGGATTTGGGAAAATTCTGGAAATTGCTCACAAGATCCGAGCCCAAGTGAAGGTCTACCTAGGAAAGCAAAACGCAGTATGGAATGATGTAAGGCTAATCAAAATGATCAGCTCTTTCTACTATAGACTGTCACATCCACTGTTCACTAGTGCACTAATCAAGTGCTGCATTTATATATTACTGCATGTGTATGTACTCTGAAATAAAGTGAAAATATCAAGCACTGAAAACATTTTCAGTTCTGTGATAAGCACAGGGCACACACTCTGTCATTTATCTTCACAACAACTCTTAGGAGGTCATTGTGGCCTGTATCTAAAGGGGACAAAAGACCCCAGCTGTGGTACGTGGGGACAGACTGGAGAGGGGAGAAAGGCCAGGCCAGGAGCAGAGTCAAGTTAATAAAAGCGAGGTGTAGGACTTTCAAGTCCATGTGGATTGTGGGACTAGAACAGCATTCTGGGTGGGAAAGAGGCCAGGCTTCAGTCAGGAAGCCCTTCCATGTAAGTCGGCGGCTGAGCGAGGAAGAGTCCACAATCTAAGGTATTTGGTATTTGGATTTTTTTAATTTAAAACATTCACCTTTTCTATTAGAATATATTAATCTACAAAACTACCATTCTCCTTCCTCTTCCAAAGTAGTCTATCTTCTACCTTGATGTTATTTTTAATATTAAACCCAACTTCCATGTACAAGAGAAAACCCAGTTTATATAACTTAATTCTCTTCACCGTACCCTTTTCCTTTAAATTTCATTCTTTATACCTGAGTAATATCCCACTGTATAGAAAAGCCACATTGTTCTTCAGCAGTTCACCTGCTGATGGGCGCCCAGGCTGCCGTCCTAACTCGGCTCTTGTGAGCAGAACTTCAGTGAGCATGCACGCTGGCGGCTAGGGACAAAGCTCGGGTCCTGGAGTGCCCGCTTAACCAGCACGGAGCACTGGGATCCATCTCCAGCACCCCCGGAAACCCGTGTCCTGGCACAGGCCTGTATTCTCAGCACTCTTTAGGTGGAGGCAGAGATCGTGAATTCGAGGTAATCCTCAGAGCCAGTGTGGCACACATGAGACCCCGTCTCAAAAGTTTTAAGGGGGACTGGAGAGATGACTTAGCAATTCAGAGCTCTTGCTGCTTAGTCATAAAGACTAGAGTTTAGATTCCAGCATCCATAGGCCTGGAGTTCCACAAACTCCTTTAACTCCAACTTTGAGGGATCTGATGCCCTCTTCTGGCCTCTCTGTGCACAAGCATCCATAACCCCCTCCCATATGTGCATATACTCACACAGATGCACACACACACACACATAAATAATTAATAAACTCTAAAAGAAAAAGCCAAGGCTATGGAGGTATATTTAGATATTCACTTTGGTGCCCAGCTTTAAACTCTAAGATATGTTTTCTTTAAAAAACCACCTCTACATGCCTAGAGACATGGCTCAGTGGTTGACAGCACGTGCTACCCTTGCAGAGGACAGCATCCTCAGTGCCCAGTACACACATCAGGTGGCTCAGACCATGTAACTTCAGCTCCAGGAGAGCCGATGCCCTTTTCTGAACTCACACACGCACACAATCCCACTGTGACGGCTCTTCTTGGTTGTCAACTTGACCACATTTGGAATTAATTAAAATCTACTCGGTGTACACCTGTTCAATTAAATCAATTGAAGTGGAAAGACCCACTTTTAATCCAGATCTTTTGAGATGGGAAGATCTACCTTTAACTTGGGCCACACCTTCTGGTGGCAGCCTACTTCAACAACATGGAAGAAAGAAACCTTTGCTCTTTGCCTGCTTGAAATCTTACTCATGAGCAAGATCATTCCTTTAGTGGCAGTAGAGTCTACTTTTTCGGAATTCTGACATATACTGAAGACAAGCTGAGACATCCAGCCTCGTGGACTGAACAAATATTGGATTCTCAGAGTTTCTGTTGTTAGATTGCTATTGTTGTACTAGCTGGACTACAGCCTGTAAGCCATTCTAATAAATCTCCTTTATATGTATGCATGTATGTATAATAAAAGCTTATTGAGGACATTACTCAGAGTTCTGGTTTCTGACACTATCTCTAATTGCTTTGAATGTAGTGAAGGCATTCTAGAGTTCTAGGGTCAATTTTTAGCAACAAAATTTAAAAGCATAAAACCAGAACTCAACCAAGTTTTTTTAATGAAGTAAAGAGGTATAAAACGTTTATAGCTTACAGAATAAACTGAGTAAAGTCTGACTGTTTTTGAATAATTATTGTGTAGAAGTTAAAAAAGCCATGGGTACCAGATTGAAAATTCTTTGTCATTACTGCAGCCAGGGTCCCTTGGAGCTGATGGGCATCAGTGTTTGGGTTACTATTCTTGTCTCTGCAGCAGCTGTAAGCTCTGAATATATGGACAACCTATAACTAAATGCATACACAATAAGTTTCCTGCTCTAACTTCTGTTTCTTTGCACTTTTTCCTATATCCTACAACACTGGCCTAAATTCAGAGCCAAAGAATACTTCCAATTCTTTTTTTAAATTTAATTTTATTTTATTGTACAATATAATTTAATTCTATATATCAGCCACGGATTCCCTTGTTCTCCTCCCTCCCCTTCCCCCCAGCTCATCCCCCCCATTTTTCTTTTCAAAAAACTTACTTTATTCGTTTTTATTTATATGTATTGCCTCAGTGCATGTATGTGTTCCGTGTACATATAAGAGGCCAAAGAGGCCAGAAGTCATAACCCCTAGAAGTGGAGTGACAGGCAGTTGTGAGCCGCCATGTGGGTGTTAGAACTGAACCTGGGTCCTCTGGAAGAGCAGTGAGTGCTCCTGACTGCTGAGCTGTCTTCCCAGGCCCCCAGATTTCTCCTTTTGAGCTGAGTGTCTGCTTTTCTCCCTCGAGTGTCTCCTACCCCGCTGCTGTTCTTACCTCTTTCAACGCTGACTGCATCACAGTCCACACCCCCTAAATCTCCACGTTTTCTCCCAACCATCCTTCAAGCAGCTAGTCCATCTGTTCCCATCACCTATTTACTGGGAGTACAAAGTGTTGGGGACAGTCCATTAATCTGCCACCTCCTGTCAACATTCTTCTCAGTCCTCATCTTACACAAACTCCTGTTGTGGATTACTACTTTAATTAGGTAAAGATGTGTTACATTTGTTTATACTGAATTTATTTCATGATGTGAAGATATGTTACATTTGCTTATGCTGCATTTGTTTAATTATGTAAAGATGTGCTGCCCTTTTACCTTGTCTGACTAAGGTAGCTGATTAGTCTAAGAAAAATAGCCAATAGCTAGTCAGAAGAGGGAAAGGTGAGGCTGGTGGGCAGAGAGAGGAGAGTGAAGACAGAACGGGGGAGAACGAGAGGGAGATGCCCAGGACCAGCCCGTCAGGCAGCCACCAACCAGCCAAACACAGAAGAAGTAGGAAAAGCAGGACGTACAGAAAGAAAGAGAGGTAAAAAGCCCTGAGGAAAAATGTGGACGAAGAGAAATAGATTAAATTAAGTTAAAAGAGTTGGTGGGACAAGCATAAGATAAGGCTAAGTGCATTTATAATTTGTAATAAGCCTCTGTGTCTTTATTTATTTGGGAGAAAGCCTGCTACAAACACCCCATTGTCCTCACTGACATCTTTTCCTTCTTGGAACACAGTAGTGGGTTTTCCTCTCCTTGTCACTCCTCGACACTTTTTCTATTTCCCAGGCTACTTTAATAATTGATACCTTTCTCAGGTAAAGGAGATGGATGTAGGTCCCTCATGAAGAAAACAGAGGGGCACGTGGTCCAGCTCAGACACCAAACGTTAGCTGTAGGATGCTTCTCAGTGGGGTTATTATTTGAAGGTGTGAAAAGAAAACATGGCTTGTAATCAAGAGTTAAGACTATCCCGGCATTTGGATGTTGAAATCTAAGATGGTCTGAGTACAAAATCGTGCTCACCACTGTGCCGGCCATGGGGTTGTAGAAGCGCTCGAGCAGCTGGACCACTGTGCTCTTCCCGCAGCCACTGCTGCCCACCAGGGCCAGCGTCTGGCCCTTCTTCACCTCCAGGTTCAGCCCTTGAAGCACTGGGATGTCGGGTCGGGTGGGATAGTTGAACTTGACTTCATTAAATTTCACATTTCCTTCCAACATATTCTAAAATGATAATAACGGTGGTCAATTTGATTATGGCAATACTGAAAACAGAGTAGAGCTGACTCTGGCCACCACCAGCTGCCAGGGGGGACAGATCAAAAGGACCCACCTTTCCCTGAGTGCTAGGGTGAGCTTTTAAGCACTGTTAAATGCCATTAAATACTATTAGCACTGTACTGAGTACTGAATCTTTATTGTATACACCCTTTTAACCCTCCCCATGAATGATGAAAAGAGTCCATAAACGGACTATTTGACAGGCCCTTCTCAAATCTCTGGCTTCCTGGAGCAGAAGGCTATCAGCTCAGCAGCCCCTTCGACAGCTGCATGAACTGCCCTGATGCCGTTTTGGCTGCACTGAACACAGCAATTTCTGCAGGAAGAAGTATTGCAATTACAGCTGCTTGCTGCAAACACACGGTTTCAATGGGGGAAAAGCACCATTGCCAGCCAAACTGTTTCAAAGAGCTTGTTGTGGAAGTCACAAGGATCTCCAACAAGCACATTCACCCAGGACAGCAGGGTAGTACCAGGGGTACTGGTACCAGTGGCCCAGCAGAGGGCCTGTACTTAGTGTCAATGTGGTCTTGCTATATAGGTCTTGGCTTGCTACCTTTGCTCTTTCTCATTAGCAGAGTGGACTCACAACACAAAGAGGAGACGGCAGTCAGCAATGGCTGCAGTGTCAGGGAAGGGTAGCTGAAGACTTCCAGAAAATGACATGGATGGGAAGAGGAGGTAGAGACGATAAGGACTGTGAAGAGTGTCAGATGAGAAACTCTAGGACCCAGTTGTTGGAAGAACTGCAAAGCTTTAAGGACCAAAGTCCTGACACTGTACGCTCAAGACGTATAATACTAACTGCTTGCTGTAGGAGCTAAGGGTCCTGATGCTGGAGTCCTGCCCAGCAGCTATAATACTTAGCAAGTTCTGTGTGCTGCTACCACTCAATGATGTTGGCCAGTGAGACTTATAATAGTTTCAAATTACTGGGGCAGTTGGTGGTTAAAGCCTAAAGCAATGGACCCCTCACATGAGCACCTAGTATCCGTAGTCTTTGGTTTCTAAAGTCTGGAGCAATGGGCACCCATTTCTCATAGCTCAGGGCCTGCTAGTTCAGTCCTCAAAGGCTTAGGACTCCTAACAATGAAAGAATTGTAACTACATGCTCATGGATTATATCCATGGAGAGAAAAAGACCCAATCAAGTGGTTAGTAACATATGTAGTGAAATTCTACTGCGATTAACCTTCATTTCACAAAGATAGAAACTAATAAATAGACTCTAAAAGAATCAATGCCTTGGCCAGCAAGCTGGCTCAGTGCATAGGGACCTTGTTACTGAACCGGACAATCTGAATTCAGTCCCCAGGATCCACAAGGTGGAAGCAGAGATTCAACTCCTAATGTTCTCTGACCTCCACATGTGCGCTGTGACAAGCAAACATCCACATGCATATACAACTAAATAAAAACAATCAAAAAAACATTTTTAAAAACAGAAAATCAATGTATCTATGCAACGAGGCATTAATGCCATCCCAATGTATAACACAAATGCAATAAAGCTTTTCCACCATAATTTGCCTATAAAAGGATAGTGTTTTATCTCTCTGTGAAATAAATTTTAATTATATATTAGTATTTAATGAAATAAACTCATGACCTGGAAAGCTTTATATTACAATCAATATATTAAAAAGCACATGTTTTATTAAATTTCTTCTTCAACTACTTTTATCCATGGGGTTAGCAGCTCATGTAACTGGAAGAGCAGACTCACAGGCTTCAGGCCTTCCGGGCTGTAGCTGTCAATCTCGGGGAGTTTTTCCATGATCATGATGACATGTGATGCCGACACTTTGGCTTTGGCATAGTCAGGAGCGAATGAACTGGCATTCCCAGCTGCCATGGCACCGAAGACAATAGCTGAGAATACTCTGGAACACAAAGGAAAAAAAAAAACACATACACACAGTCATGGCTGCTGGGAAGCAAGCTGCCAACTCTGCACCCGGGAGCAGGATGCTGAGTGACCACTGCTCGTTGTAGAGAAAACACAAACAGAGGAACTATAAGAAACAACCATGGTCCCTTCCACAGCTAGCCTCGATGATACCTCTCACCACCCACTTAGCCCCACTGACAATGGCATGGGCACACCAGAAGATAAAGGACCACAGCCAGGAGCTGGCCTGATTCTCCAAGCTCTAGTTCCCTAAGGAGGAGAGAATGACGTTCCCTGCAGCCTGTAGCCAGCTTTGGGTTCTCTGTCCTTCTGTCAGTGGGAACCCTTTAGAAAGAAGCCCACTTGGCTTCCCTGAGGACTCCTCCTTTAGCAGAGTGGATTAGAACACTTCACCAAGGACTGTGGGTGTCAGACAAGGGCTGTCCTCACCTGCTCCCCTCAGACAGGCCAGACAACACCCCACTGCAGCCTCCCAGATCCCAGAGGCCACGCCTGCGGCCCCCACCTTTGTCCCTTGCCACACACCAATGTCTGGCAGCTGTGGCACACTGCTCACATTCTATGTGAAAGACCACCGTGAGATTGCTGTCTCATGCGTTCACATGTTTGTTTAAAAATTGAAAAACAAAACAAAAGCAGCCTTTTTGTGAACACTATTAAACAGAGCAGGGTGCTGGCCTGTTTGGCTACAGTACTAATGGCCATGACTGAGTATCTTCATGTCAATATTGTCAATATCATTGTACTTATCGGAACAATAACAATTAAGGAAGTCACCCATTACTTTTTCATTGACATGATTTTAAGGTTTAGGGAAGAATGGAATGGTACCCCGTGTTGGGATATGAACACTTGGTGTCTCTGTTTGGGAAGGTTGTCTCACTTTTAGGAGTTGGAGCCTTGCAGCAGGAAGTGGTCACTGGGGTCTCCTGACTGCTGTTCCAGTGTGACCCACGGCCTTGTCCACACTCGTGCTGCTCTGCCTCCTGTCATGATGGAGTGGAGCCCTCAACTGTAAGCTTGGATAGCTCTGTCTCCTGGACATTGCTTTGTCAAGATATTGTATTACAGTAACAGCGATAGCAGCTAATATACCCACAGAAGAAAGTGCATTACTTAAAGATGTCCTTCATGGATATTTTCCTCATTTTTAAACAGCACACATTCAAAAAATAACTCACAGTTATTGGAAAGCAGACTGAAAGCAATAACAAATTCATAACCAGGCAGGACTACCTCTCATAATTATAAAATAACAAACATTTTAAATGAAACACCTTTCCTTAAGTGCACGGCAGTGCGGCTCGTTACAAAACAGCTGCTTTCTCACTCTCTGACCTTTGTTGTTTAAAGAATGAAGCGTGGTTTGCCACCCTTTCAGTCTGGGTTTGCCTTGAGACGTACTTCAGTGAACAAGAATGGCGGAGGTCAATGTTTTCAGTTGGAGGTTTATGACTCAGGAGGTCTTGTATGATTCGTATGCTTGTTCATTATCATTTGTGTATTCTCTCTCTCTCTCCCCTTCTCCCTCCCCCCTCCCTCCAGGCTGCTGCAAGACAAAGCATACACAGAGGATGACCCTGACTTTTCCCCTAGCCAACTATCTATGGCTTCCTTTAACCCAGAAGTGAGGTTAGATGAGAGCTTTTATGCCCACCTCAGATCAGCACAACTGACTTCTGTGCAAAATAAATGTTGTTAATTCCATGTCACTGAGGCACAGTGGCTAGTTGATGGAATGGCATCACAGTCTCACAAAACCTATGACATATGACAAAAAATCCCTTATATGTCATGCCATGCAGCTGCTAACAGGCCACATCCTCATCTGTGACATGGCTATCACAGCCCAGACCCGAAAGGACCTTAGAGATATCAAGTCCAGTTGTTGATGTTTATGCCTAGACACTTCCCTAAACTGACCTGTGTCTTCCCTTTTGATAGGCACCATGTCTGATTAAGTCTATCGCTAAGCTTACGTTACCCATCATGAACCGGAACATCTTTCCACAGGCCCTTTGCTTTGGTGGTGACCCCTCACTGCCTTTCTCCATATGCACTTCTTTATGTCATTAACAGTAAGCCAGGAACTGGCGTAAAGCACGAGGCTATTCAGAACCCTGGGAATCCACCACTTCCTTTTCTTGGGACTCTGTACACAGGCTAAAGAAACACAATGCAATATTAAAAACTATAACTAAATAAAACACACAGACAGTTAATTTCCCTCATATATTATTTAAACTTTTTGGGGGGAGGGGCTAGGTTTTTCAAGACAGGGTTTCTTTGTTGAACTTACAGAGCTCCTCCTGCTAGGATTAAAGGCGTGCATCACCACTGCCTGGTGAAGGATTTTTTTTTTAAATGGCCACTTTTCACAAGTTTCCTCTGGCCTTTACTAATTAGAAGAAGGAGTCTTACAAATCTAAGGCTGCTGTGTCAGCAAATTTTATTGGCTTGGAACAAAGCAATCTATCAAAGAGTTATCTATTTAAGAATCCAATACTTACAGCATAACATTTTCAAAAGTCATTAATTGATGCGCCACCAAGTAGGCGCCAAACCGGAAACAGGCAGCATAGGTAAAATACATCATGGCCTGGGTGAAGGAGAATGTGATCCCAAAGATGTGCGCTTTCTTCAAAGCGTTTCTGGAAAGAAGAGAACCCAGATTCACTCCACTGCATTTCTCAGTCATTCAAGTAACTTCCTGTGGTTCGCAGTGGGGCACACAGAGTGACAGACACAGTGGATTCCCTTTCTAGAGAATTCGGCTTGAGCCCCGTTTACT